TCCTTTTTCTTCTCACCATCCTCCTCCAGCATCATTCCACCATCCTCCTCCTTTTTCTTCTCACCATCCTCCTCCATCGTCTGGCCACCATCCTCTTCATGTTTCTTCTCACCATCCTCCTCCATCGTCTGGCCACCATCCTCTTCATTTTTCTTCTCACCATCCTCATCCATCATCGTTCCACCATCCTCCTCCATAATCTTTCCACCATCCTCCTTTTTCTTCTCACCATCCTCCTCCATCATCATCTTTCCACCTCTGCCGCTGGCGCTGCTGCCTTCCCAGGTCTGCTGTTCCTGGCTCAACCATTGGAGGAACTCCCTCAAGTCTTCTAGAGGATCGCTCAGATCAACATCACCAAATAGCCATGTCGGCCCTCTCGTGGGGCTACTCAACTCGCAAAACTCTGCAAACCTGCGGTGCTGCTCACACTCGTGGATGGCTTTCTTCACAGTCGCTGGGTCCAAAGAAAGTGCCTCTGACTCCTTCATATACCCAAACCGCTTGAGGGCATTTGGCAGGCTTTCCTTGAATGCATCGCCCACATACACTTCCTGAGAAATCAAAACCCCAAGGAAGGAGTCACAGGCACAAGCTTTGAAAGCAAAGGACCCAGCCAATCCAGGAATGTCAACACCACCGCAGATTTCCAGAGTTTTGTGAGTTGATGGCTCCTATGAAAGGGCCCACATGGCTTTTTGGTGATGATGTTCTGAGCGATCCTCTAGAAGATTTGTGATAATCTAGAATTCTAGATTCGTTTGATGAGCTGGAGTTGAAAAGTGAAAAGTTAAAACAGTTAATAAACAGTTCAGTTCAACACAACGCTAACTTCGACGCGACGCTCTGACGCTCGTGACGCTGACGCTAACACTAAATATGAATATAGACAGCTTCAGTTGGGTTGGAAGTTGGAAGTTGCAGCTGCAGCTGAACTAAACGAAAGTCACGTCCCCAACACATGTTAAAGCTTTGCTGAGGTTCTTCCACCACCTCCTTTTTCACTGGAATCTCAGCCACAGCCTTCGAGATCTCGAAGCCCTCCACTGGATCCTCATCTGGCTCGCCAGACTCCTCTTCCTCCTGCGCTTCCTTGATCTCGGTAATTGCACTCAGCAGCTTCAAGACGGGCTTGTTGCCTTCGTGGGCTGCATACATGCGAAAGGCATCGAAGCATCCTGCGGGTAGCACCGGCACAACCATACGCCTTGGAGACAGGATCATAGGGTCAACACACAAACTAGGACCCCTTTGCAGCCCTTGGTGGAGTGTGCTGCGTGCTTGAACAATATTCACAAAAATTGCATATACAAAAATTGCATTCAAGAGTGCCCAAAAGGTCCAGTGCGTCCTCACTCTTCTGAGTTCTCCACGGTGTCTCTCCCCGTGTTTCTCCCGTCAAGGGAGCAAACGGTTTAGTTTTTCCTTTACAGTATTTTATGTCTCTTCTTCATGCCTGGTAAATCTTTATCCCCCGATTTGGGGGGTGGCAGCCGGCCGGCCCGGCCGGCAATGTCAAGACTATTGAAGCCACTATACTATAATATTCTCCTCCTCCAGGGTCCAGGGTCCAGAGTCGAGAGAAAGAAAGCTATTTGACCAAGGGGCAGTGAAATGGAATTCTCATTCACAGTCTTCTCCACCTGAATAGTACCGGGAGGCAAATAGAGCACGTCCCCACACTTGATGATACCTGCCCGCAGCGTAGGGATGTCCTGAGTCGTTGGTAGGCAATCTGCACTGATCCGCAGCAAATAGTTGATGCACTGCTCCACTGAAACCTGGGAGCTGGTTAAAATCAACAGGAGCTGGTCAAAATCAACAGGTGATAGGACCAATACCTATAGTCCCTTAGCACCTGACTGACTGACCTGAGATTTAGACCAACCACTCAAACTATGGCCTCTTCCGATTAAAATTAAAGGTCAAACTTGGGTTGAATCTTGCGGTGTGTGTGTGTGTAGGATGATGATGGAGGATGTTTGTCTTGGGTTTGTGTGTGTGTGAGCATGTCAGCGTGTTTCAAGATCCATTAAACCAATGGGCATCGTCACCATCGCTCGGCCCCTGTGTCCTTGTCAAATACAGGGACACATCCCTCAAGTCTGCCAAGACCACAATGCGAGCACCTTCTGATTGAAGCCGCACGGAGGCAGCAGCTGACAACTCTGCTCCATGAAACAAATGGGACTTTTGCCTCGCAGTGGCGTACAGCTTGGTAATCCACCCGGTGTACTCACTCACGTCAATGGTGGTTTGCTGTGCCGCTTGCTGCCTGGGCTGGGCTGGGAATAGACTGACAACAAACTGACAAATGATAGTGACAATAACAATGACAGTCTGACAAATCTTACAGTGGTCAGTGGTCAACGTTACAATTTACAATGGTTGTAACAATTGACAATACAATCACAAATGTCAACCACAACAACTACTACTACCCACACACGAATGGCTTTGAAACGCTATTAGCCTAAGCCCGGAGCCCATAAGCCCGGCTTTTGCTCTGTGGTTTCAGTGTTCAGTGGTTCAAGTTCAGGCTTAGACTAGAGCCCCCAAAAAAAACATGGACACCAACAACTGAGAACCCTACACCTCCTCCTTCTGAATGAAAGGCCATGTCGTGTCTCCAGGAAGCAAATCCAAGAGGTTTCTCTTGGCATCATTGGTCTCCTCCACCCCAAAGTTCTCCCCAAGAACGGCCTGTGCAGTGGGAGCACCTTTGGTAATCCACTGCGACTTGAAGTTGTCGAGTTGGGCACAAATGGCAGCCCTCGTAGCCTCCTCTTTGAACACCCCCTTCAAAACGTTCTTGCCACGCCTACCACCAGGGGGCTGGTGTAGTTCGGGCATGGTTTTGTAAAGAGTAATCTTTGTCCAAAGCCAACATCATGTCAGGATCGTTGAAGATCAACTTTAAACAATTACACAGTACACAGACACACACTCGACACTCACCCACACAAAATGAACACTCATTATACTCATGACACATGAGTCATGAGTCAAGTCCAGTGGTCCAGTCAAGTCATGACTGAGTCGACTTATGAGTAATGAGGTCAAACTACGACAACCACGATCACGGTCAATACATTCACATTATGAGTCCTGAGTCATGAGTCCATGAATCATCAATGAGGAGAAGGACAAGGGTGATAGGGATAAGTCAAGTCAAAGGCACATCGGGCGGCGTGAGGTTGAGGTAACGGGGTACAGGTAATAATAAGGTAATGTCTTCAGTATAAGACCCAAGAAATTGAAACTTGAACCGGTTGAGCAGATTTACAGTTGACAGTTGTGCATTTGCTGGCCTGATCACAAAGGGAATGTCGCCACGACTCCACCCTTTCTTCAAGTGTTCGAAAGAGTTCACCACAGGAATAGATTGCTGCTTCTCAATCACTCGGTAGCTCTTGATGGACATGGGATCACTCGTGCTGCACTCGGCAGGAAGCTTAGCAGCTCTTTTCTTGGCTTTGGCCGCTTTCTTTGCCTCAGCCGCTTTCAGAAGGGCAGCCGTTTTTACGGTCTGCAAAGCTGAACTCATGTCATTGAGCCCGCTCTTGAGGATCTTGCACATCGATTGATACCCAGACAGCACGCTTTTGACGTCCTTCACTGCTTCCTCAATTTCCTCTTTGGTGTCGCGCAGCAAAAACTTGGCTAGATCCAATAGTTGTGTAAGCGGCACCATTTTGGAAGCCAACTCTTCCTGGAACAAACCTCCAGTCCTCGTGTGACTCCGCGTGACCGGATTCAATCATAGGTCATGTTTGAATCATAAGTGGAGAGACCCTTGAGTCAGAGTCGTCACCAGTCACCAGTCATCATGAAGAATGATCAGTCATCACCAATCATCACAACACAACTTCTAAACTTGGGGGAAGGCAGTTTGAACTGAGAGATGTGCTGTCTAGCTTAAAACCCAGTGTCCGTGTCAGGGACTCCTTGTTCACTGCAACTCTACAGCCAAGACCTGCACCAAAAACCAAAACAGAGCGTTTACTTAAGCACAACCATGATACTGCAACACCTGGGAGAGGGTCTCATTGTCGGCGGCAGTTTCACTTCCAAGCAGGAGCCGTGCCATGCGCATTCTATGATGAAACTGAAGAGCACACTTGTAGACAGATCTTGAAGAACCAAGGGAGTACGTGTCGACATCTTCAATGATGGATCTGGTGATATCTTTCTCTGTGACACCGTTCTTCATAAGTTCTTTGCACCGGTCATCTACCTTGCATAACCCAAGTAACAACTTTAGTGTTAAAACACAAAACAAGAACATGACCATTTGTGCCGCATTTCCCAAATTCAACTACCC